TTCAGCAGCGACACCATTTCTGCTTTTTTACTGTGAATAGTCAAGCTGAACATTTTTGTTGAACACGAGCGCTGTCTTTGTCAAACAACGTAACCTTGAGACAGATTTATTATCCGATCCCACAATTCGTTGAGTCATATGATCAGGCGCAAAAAAAAAGACGGAAAAAATGAATCATATAGAATCGGTTTTAGAATCGATTCATTACAACGGAAAGCTCGAAAGAATCGAATCAGTTAATTGAGCCGAACTTCCCATCACTACACCTGGCTGTGGCAGATGGATGGCCATTTCCAGAGGGTGGGACTGGACCGTGTTTCCGGGCGGGATCCCGAGGAGTTTGAGGAGTTTCGCTGTGTGGTGGGTGCGGCAACGTGCTGCGTCAGCGCATGCTCCCTAACCTGACCCGACCCGACCTGCCTTACATGTCAATTGTACGTTTTCTTTTCTTGGTATGATTGTGGCCATAATCACACAAGAAAAAATACTGACTTGTAGTGAACACAGACCTATTAAAACAATGTATTGTCATATATAACTGAAATGAGAAAAATGCTTGATAGCCTTACAAGAACCATACTGTCTTTTTCATATGGGTTCAGGATCCACTGGGCTCGTGGCGCCTTAAACTGTTTCACCTGGAAACATTTTAGCCATTTTAGCCTGACAGCCGCTATTAACAAACCCGCAAATTAGTTTAAAAAGAAAAGGTCTCGTGTTTCACAATGAATCGGTGAAATTTTGACAGCTAAATGCACAATAATGGAATTATGAAATCCTGTAACTATGAAATTAGTCATCTGGCGCTAAATTGCACTCCTTTGTTTTGTCCAAAACAGAATTCAATCAGAGAGAACTGTTTACATCTCCCAGTTAGATTTTGGCCAGTTTACAGTGAAGAGCACCCTCATTAAAGGCTACTGTAGGAGATACTGCTGTTTGTATGAAAACTGCGGGGGGCAAACACTGTCGTTAGTGAGCACCTGTCAGACTTTCCTGACCAGTATCCTTTTTGCTGCCATTTAGATTCCTCTCTTGGTCGAGTCGTTACTCGGCGGCACTTCACGAAACTTTAACGCTGGAATGCTACAGGCAGTAAGATACAACCAGAATGATTTTTTAAAAATGTTACTGGTATTTTATATTGGTGCTTAATTCTGTTCGGCATTTAACTGCAGAAAATGGACCATGCAGCCTCCTAAGTGCAAAGGACACAGGACCGAGGTCCAAATCGATTTTTATAGTTTCCTCATAAATTGGCCCTTAGTCATTGAAGGTAAGAATTACTACAATAATATGTCTACAGTTCCAATAAAAAATATCCGAGATAATATTTATGCTTGCCCATGCTGTGTGTACGCGCCATACCTGTCAAGTTTTGGATTCGAAAATAAGGGAAATTTTCCGGCACCCACCGCGAGCCACCCCACCACCCC